GGGGAATCTAGGGGGGTAGTAGCCCTAAACCCTAAACCCTAAACCCTAAACCCTAAGGTAGTAGGGGAACCCATAAGAGAGAGGGTTCCCTCATGTTCGTGCCTTCTGATGGCAGTCGCCTTATAGAGTATAGAGTCGCGGTACCATACAAGGGTTATATAAGGATCCGAACTTAGGTTATGAGTTGTAAGTGCTGGAAGTACAGTTAGAATAGTAGTAAGGGGGCCCTTATTTGTAGGAGGCTACACGATTACCAGTCTTCTCCCCTCATGCAAGCGGATCACCCCGAATACCCCTAAACCCTAAACAGGCCCCTGTATTGCACCCAACTACCTAAACCGAAAACCCCAAACTCGAGGGCTTGGTCTTGTTAGTTTCTCGCCTTAGAAGTCTGGTGTGTTCCAGTGGATTCTACGGCTACCTGAAACCCAAACTCTTGGAGGGTTCAGGGCTTGCTAAGCCCTAAACCCCCAAACGCTGAAACCTAAAAACCCTAAAGTTCGGGCTAAACCCTAAACCCTAAACCCTAAACCCTAAACCCTAAACCCTAAACCCTAAACCCTAAACCCTAAACCCTAAACCTGTAACCCCTGCACATGTTGCTTTGCCGCGGTGAGTGCACTCTCGGCTCCAGCGATGTCGGGTGCGTTTGCTCCTGACCAAGGCTTCTTCCCGCCTTTGCTTGAGTTTAGGGTTTAGGGTTTAGGGTTTAGGGTTTGGGGTTTGGGGTTTGGGGTTTGGGGTTTGGGGTTTGGGGTTTGGGGTTTGGGGTTTGGGGTTTGGGGTTTGGGGTTTGGGGTTTGGGATTGTTTCCCGCAGGGAAGCGGGGAACTGCCGCAAGTCTCTTCCTTACAGCGGCAAGAGCTTTAAAGGTTCCTGCGCAACATCCTAAATCTCTGAGGCTTAGGGTTTTTTTTGGGATTTTTAGGGTTCACAAATCTCTGAGGCTTAGGGATTTTGGGGGGTTTTGGGGGGATTTTTAGGGTTCACGGCAGGTTTTTGGACCCCCTTTAGGTTGGTTGACGATGTTTGTTTTTTTTTGGTGTGTCTCCGTTTTGATGTGCTGTGCTGTGCTAAGCTATATCTACGAAACGACTGGGCATATCTGAATGTGTGTGCGTGTGATTATGTTGTGATTGGCTATATGGCGATATGCAAGCCCCGTGCACAAATTACGCGCACGCATAACCAGCTTGGTCTGACATGGAACTGCGCGCAGAGATTTCCCAACACCTCATAAAGCAGATTGCCCCAGCCCCCTTACCCAGTGCTCATGCGGAAGCACTTTTCAGGACCGATGGAGAACTTCCCAAATATCGTCGAACCCGAACCGAAAGCGAACCGTCATGGCCCTGGCTGTTTTTGGTTCCAGAGTTTTGTCTTTAGGGTTTAGGGTTTAGGGCTTAGGGCTGAGCATTGCTTCAGCCACTTGAAGTTGGATGGGGCGGCTGTTCGGGATGTCAAGCCCTAGCCCTCATCCCTTTTTGTTAGGGGTTTGGTTTAGGGCTTAGGGCTTAGGAAATCGAGGACCCAGAGGAGGCCCTTAGTCCCTTTGTTAGCTTCTCTAATATGACCCTTTAAAGCAAAATCTAGGACCCAGAGGAGGCCCTTATTCCCTTTGTTAGCTTCTGTAATATGACCCTTTAAACCCTAAACCCTAAACCCTAAACCCAAACCCTAAACCCTAAACCCTAGAACAAGGGCACCCTTTTTTTGCTCCCAAGTTACTGCTGAGTCTAGAAATACATGCCACCCTCTCTCTGAGGCTCCTGCAGCTAGCTTCGGCAAGTCCTGTGGCTGCTAGGGTTTAGGGTTTAGGGTTTAGGGTTTAGGGTTTAGGGTTTAGGGTTGAGGGTTTAGGGTTTAGGGTTTAGGGTTTAGGGTTTAGGGTTTAGGGTTTAGGGTTTAGGGTACGAAGTTACTTGTTTTCAGCTCCGCGCCTCTTTGATGTACATTCAGGCTGCAGGGGGAATTCCTCACAGAATGCCCAGCGCCCGAATTTCCCAACCCTAAACCCTATGCCCTAAACCCTAAACCCTAAACCCAAAACCCAAAACCCCAAAACTTAAACCCTAAACCCTCAACCCTAAACCCTAAACCCTAAACTCTAAACCCTAAGCCCTAAACCCTAAACCCTAAACCCAAAACCCTAACCCCAAACCCCAAACCCGTGCTTCAGAGGAAGCCTCAGTAGGTTCAGCCCGATAGTCTGAGCCCGCAAGCAGCGTATCTCAAGAAATGTTTCGGGTTTAGGGTTTGGGGTTTGGGGTTTAGGGTTTAGGGTTGAGGGTTTGGGGTTTAGGGTTTAGGGGCTTGGGTGGTTACCCGAACCCCCCGACAGATGGAGGTTTCCAAAATCAGGGTCTTTCCGGTCCCTCCTTGCCTTAGGGTTTAGTGTCTAGGGCTGAGGTATTGTTAAGGGTCCGTGTGAGAAATGGGACGCCCCCGACGCGACCACGATTGAAGTTCTTCTGAAAGTTAAAAGTCAGTGCGTGCTAGCCCCAAGCTTGACCTGTCAGCATTGAGAAGCCCTGAAGCCCTCCAACCCCCTTAAACCCTAAACCCTAGATTTAGGGTTTAGGGGCTGAGGGTTTAGGATTTAGGGGTTTAGGGGTTTAGGGTTTAGGGTTTAGGGTTTAGGGTTTAGGGTTTAGGGTTTAGGGTTTAGGGTTTAGGGTTTAGGGTTAGACTCTGAAAGCCTGGATTCCTACAGCCTCTGACTCCTCAGCCCCCTCTGCCGAGCTCAACTTTCCATCCCTTCAAGCTCGACTGTGGCAAGGTTCAGGGTGGGGTTTAGGGTTAGGATTTAGGGTTTAGAGCTTTAAGAGGTTTAGGGTTTAGGGTTTAGGGTTTAGGGTTTAGGGTTTAGGGTTTAGGAGTGTCCTGTCACTAAGCCGCAGCCCAACACTTCACGCATGTTAGTCAAATCTCCAAACCCTCAACCCTAAACCCCCTGGTTCTTGGTAGGGGATGAGGGAAGTCGGGCCCCCACGTAGGGATGATCTAGGCTACCTCCTCCCGTCATTCCCCTACTAAGAACCAGCCAGTAAACCCGAAACCTGCCCTAGGCCATATACGCCCCTACGAGCAGCTTCCCGCCCGCTCCCTTCCCCATGAGGGGTCGTCTAGACAGGACTCAACAACTTATGACAGGTGAATCGGGCTTCGGGTCTTGTCCTCAAAAAAGACGGGTGGTCCCCAAGACCTATGGCGAAGGGTTGAGGTTCCACTGACCAAAACGCCAAAATGCCCTGAGCCCTTTCACTCTCAAGGTGACATGTGTGCCTCACCAACATCAAGTTCGGAATTGAGTGATGAGGTGGGCGTGCGCAAGCAATGTAGTAGGGGCCGAAATGACTACTTGGTCGGCCATTGGGATATTTGACACTTCCCTTGTTGGGTTTAAGAGGATCAGATTCAGAACCCCCCCTCCCCCCCCTCCCCTCCCTCCCCCCCCTCCCCAAAAACAAGAATAAAAACTCAAAATCAATAAAAGGATAGATCCTAAAACCTAAACCCCTAGCAAAAAAGATCGCAACCTTAGGCCTGTTGACTGTAGGCCCCCAATGTAGCTTTTACATCCCCAAACCCTAAACTCTAAACCCCAAGCCCCAAACCCTAAACCCCAAACCCAAAACCCTAAACCCTAAACCCTAGACCCCAAACCCCCAACCCTAAACCGTAAGCTCGTTTGCTTCCGGGCTGCCAACCTTTGGCATCGAGGCGGCTTTCAAGCTCAAGGATTTTTGTTGAGGGTTTTTAAGGCTTTAGGGGTGCAAGGTGTAGGGTTTTAGGGAACCCTAAACCCTGAACCGAACCCTAAACCCTAAACCCTAAACCCTAAACCCTAAACCCCCAAGACCCTGTAACTTGAAATTATGAAGAAACATCCAAAACAGAACTCCTCGAAACTTTCCTCGGACCTGAACCCTTAATAATTTCAATAAACCCTCAACCCTAGAAGGCTTCGGGAGTCAGGGCTTTATGTCTTGAGGGTCTCGGATGCGTTGCGGAGGCCTCAATGCCAATCGCCAACATGGAAGACGTTGGTCGGGCCCTTGACAGGGTTTAGGGTTTAGGGTTAGGGTTTAGGGTTTAGGGTTTAGGGTTTAGGGTTTAGGGTTTAGGGTTTAGGGTTTAGGATGGTCCCCCTTGTACTAGGGATTAGAATAGGGAGTACTAGAATCCCTACTAAGGACAGTTAGTGAGCATCCCAAGTTTTACTGGTTCAGGGTCTTAAGGGGTTTTAAGGGTTTAGGGTTGTTTTCTGGGCTTTCAGGGATGCTCATGAGAAATCCTGCTACGAAGCGAGGTGTCTACCCCAGCTGCAAAGACTTTAGGGGTCCAGAAGGGGGCATTGGCCTCGCACTGGACTTGCATGGCTGGGATCATGCTACTTGAGCATAAGTCCGGAACAATATTAATGAAGAAGTCTATCTATTTATCTATCTATACGTATATACATACATAAGAGTATGTGTGAGTATGGAAGTGTGTCTGTGGAAACCCTAAACCCTAAACCCTAAACTAAACCCTAAACCCTAAACCCTAAACCCTAAACCCTAAACCCAAGGGAGCAGGTTTCACTCTTCGCCTGCCTCAGTTCAAAGCACCCAGGTGCGCAAACCTGAGGCCGCACACCCTGAAGTCCTGTTGCTAGGTAGGCCCTTGGGACAAACCCTAAACCCTAAACCCTAAACCCTAACCCCTAATTAAACCCTAAACCCTAAACCTAAAACCTAAACCCTAAACCCTAATCCCTAAACCCTAAACCCTAAACTCTAAACCCTAAACCCTAAACCCTAAACCCTAAACCCTAAACCCTAAACCCTAAGCCTAAACCTAACCCGTCTTTCAAAAAAAACCTTGTTGGGTTTTGCCTTGCTAGGGTTTAGGGTGGAGGGTGGAGGTTTTAGGGCTTCCACATTACCCTTGAACCGTGCAACTGTTGCTGATTGTATGCTGCTGCAGCATTCGGGCACCCTCGAGTCAGCCCCACTATGCTCTGGCTTCTTGCTGTCTTAGGAGCCACCTGCTGCTGGTGGACTGACGCCAGCGATGCTGTCACCATAAAGAGCTCCCCCGGCAAGGTCGCCTACGTGCAAGTGGTCGGAACTCAAGTGGTGGAGGACCCGTCCGCTGCCGGGACCTGGGACACGGGATGCAAGGCATCCACTGTGATGCAGGAGTTGCATTGTGATGTGGCAGCGCCCGAAGATGGCAGCGCACCAGTACCAAAGCCAGAGTTGCGGGCACTACACCTTGATTGCAGCAGTCTCAAGCTGCCAAGGTCCATGGACAAGGGGCACGTTTCCTTCGTAATCCCTAAGGAACTCGCTGCGAACTGCGCCCGGGTTACGGTTGAGGCGGCGTCGAAGGGCCCTTTGCCCAGCTGGGACATACCTTACTTGGATCCTCAAGAGGACTGGCTACTGCGGCTACTTAGTAGCTGAATGAGTACACTTCACACTTTTTGGGATACTATCATCCCCGGTAGAACTGAAGCTGTACACTTTTCTAGGGCTTATGAACTCAGCAACTAAGGCTACAGGGTCCGACGCAGCTTCGAGTGGCATGCCTTCCCTTGGAGCATCGGCTGATCTGGTGGATGCCCGAGAGGTTCTTCCTGGTTGCGAAGTTCACTTTGCAGGACTCCACAGAGACTAGGCAGGCCCTTGGCCACTGGGACGAATTTCTGGTTATTCTTCCCTTCTTGGGTTCAAGAGGATCTCCCTAAAACCTACACCCCAAGCCCTAAGCCCTAAACCCTACACCCTAAGCCCCAAACCCTAAACCCAAAACCCTAAACCCTAGACCCTAGACCCTAAATCCTAAACCCGTTTTCAGGTTTTTTTTAAGCCCATCCCAAGGAGACCTTTTACGAAGCGGAGCTTCGAGCGTGGAGAAAGCAGCTGTCCAGCCACATTGACACCGGGCGCCGCGCCTGCGACAAAGCCTTGGAGAAGGTTTACGGCTGGCCAGCACCTGGGTAGGCCCTTGGGAATATCTCATACTTTCTCTTCTAAGTTGGGAGTTTATAGACCCTATTCAGGACTATTTCTTCAGAGGGTTTTTTCGGCGCCCAGCCTAGGCGGAAGCCGTGCCCAGTGGCCGCAAGAACTGCGGCGCCATGCAGTGGCGCAGCCCTGAGCCGGCCCATAGTCCTGAGCTGGACGCGCTTGTCCTGGGCCCGCTCCTTGGGGACGAAATGAACCCTAAAAAAAAAAAATAGGGTTCATAATACCTTAATTTGGGAACTATAGTAGCAAGGGAAAATGACCATACCTTCATAGGAGTGAGAGTAGTAGGGGAAGATGGCCCCAATTTTAGGGTTCATATAACCTTAATTTGGGAATTAGAGTAGTAAGGGAATATGACTCCAATTTTAGGGTTCATATTGCCTTAATTTGGGAATTAGAGTAGTAAGGGAGTATGACCCCAACCATTAGGGTCCCTAAACCCTAAACCCTAAACCCTAAGTCCTAAGCCCTAAACCCTAAACCCTCAACCCGAAACCCTAAACCCTAAACCGGGTTCATTGGGTCCCCCTATGAGGCTCTGCAGCGACTGCACGAACCGGACGGCGCTGACGCTTTTCACGGCACGTGGGGAGGTTGCCGGACAGCCTGGTGCCTTGGAAAATGGTACCCTAAACCCTAAACCCTAAACCCTAAACCCTAAACCCTAAACCCTAAACCCTAAACCCTAAACCCTAAACCATTAGGGTTCATTTGGTCCCCAAGGTGGGCTTACACCAGACATCGTGGGCGTCCACGCCGAGCCGGCCATGCCGGAGGAGGTGCTAAAACAGGCGCTACGCTTCGTAGAAGCTGGCCCCAAGCCCTGCACTGGCACAGAGGCGGAGGAGCAAGCCGCCAAGCGCGCAAGGTCCGCGGAACGGGCCGAAGGTGAAGCCTTCGTCCGGGTGGACGAGCCGGTCGTGATCCACCAGGAGCTTTAGGGTTTAGGGTGTAGGGTGTAGGGTTTAGGGTTTAGGGGTTTAGGGGTTTAGGGGTTTAGGGGTTTAGGGGTTTAGGGGTTTAGGGGTTTAGGGTGATCCACCAGGAGCTTACTGCGAAGGCCTCGATGCTGCGACAGGGCACGCAGAAGCTGTTCGCAACACTACAGTGTGGGGTGACAAGGTGGGGGTTACGATCATGGGGGGCCCTTAACTTTGAAATAGACCCCCAAGTAGTAGGGTTCCCTTATGATAAAGACCCCAAGAAGGTACCCCGAATTTCGGACACCACCAGGTGGGGTTCCAAGGACACCTTGGTTCTGGTGGAGATACCGGCTGAAGGGACAGTGAAAAACTCGTACTTCGAGGTCGCCATGGGGGTGCTTGTATTCCTGATCGCGGTTGCGGGGTTGGCGGCGGTATTTATTTTGCGACGACGGAGGCTCATCCATGCACACCAGGCAGAAGAACGACGGAACTTCACCTGATCGTCGCAGGTCACCAGGGGTTTATAGGCTATCACAAGCACGTGGGGCGTCAACAGGGTGTCCGGCTTTCCTAAATGTGGGACATGCTGCGTAAAAGATGCGTCTGGGGGTTTTCATGGGGTTTGGTTTTCAGTCTTTCACATAGATCGCACCACGGCCGAGTGAACATTGCAGTCTTTGCAGGTCGTGGATGTTGCCACAGCTTTTGTGAACTAACAGGAAGGCCAGTTTACTCACAGGCAGTGCTGATGCCGTTGGCGATACGGGTACTATGTTTCCTTAAACTGTGACAAACAAGCCCACTCTGATGGCTTTCAACCCGGAGAGATTCGGTATTTCAGCGGCTTCTGCGATTCGCCTCAGTTCGAGATCACGACCCTAAACCCTAAACCCTAAACCCTAAACCCTAAACCCTAAACCCTAAACCCTAAACCTGTGTGTCGCATCTACGCTCCCGCAACTGTTGGCTCCGAGTCGGGTGAAGTGGAGGGAAGAAACCCTATCTCTCCCATTTCCATGCAAGCCAAGAGTTATAAGGCCTGGTAGCCCAATGGTTACCCTTTTCCCCTTTTTTTGGCTCAAGGTTCCCTTATGGTACCCTTTTTCCCTTTTTTGGGCTCAAGGTTCCCTTATGGTACCCTTTTTCCCTTTTTGGGCTCAAGGTTCCCTTATCAACTCCGGGGGTATTTCGTCACGCTTAGTCTCTGGCTATCAGGTGCCATGAAGTGGCTGCGGAAGCATCGTCAGCACCCGGAACCCTAGCAAAACCTCACCCTAAACCCACTTTAAGTTCGAGCTCCCAAACTCTAAACCCGAAACCCTAAACCCTAAACCCCAGACCCTAAACCCTAAACCCTAAACCCGCTTGTGAGCTCTCCTTGTATGATGGCCTGCGTTGCCAGCCTGCATCGCTGCTGCTACTAGGCAAAGGCCCGCAGGGGGACCACCGGGCATCCTACACCCTAGGGTTTAGGGTTTAGGGTTAAGGGTTTAGGGTTTAGGGTTGAGGGTTATGGCCCGAAACCCCTTCTCCATGAACCCAATTCCCTACTTGAACAGTCCCACTTGCGAGCATTATCGACAATACCCACTGGCTTGTAACCCAACCAGATTCTCAAGCTCTAAGCAGACTCAACATGTCAAACCTCACCTAGACCTGATTTCTGAGAACTCCCACAACCAAATCACTCCGCTGATACGTACTTCCCTAAACTCTATGGGTTAGGGTTTAGGGTTTGGGGTTTAGGGTTTAGGGTTTAGGGTTTAGGGTTTAGGGTTTAGGGTTTAGGGTCCCCAAACCCCAAAACCCTAGACTCTTTCATCCGCAGGGCTCCTGTTCAGGGCCCGAGCAGTAGCCCGTTAAAGGATGCTGAGATCATCTAGAGTCAGGGTTTAGGGTTTAGAGTTTAGGGTTTAGGGTTTAGGGTTTAGGGTTTAGGGTTTGGGGTTTGGGGTTGGGGTTTAGGGCCCTAGAACACCCTCATAAGAATGATAGTCATAATCCAGACCCCAATTCTATTTCAACAGGCCCCAATATTCATTACTGAACGCACCGCCAACATACCGACCCCCACCCCGCGCCTCCCCTAAACCCTAAACCCTAAACCCTAAACCCTAAACACTAAACACTAAACACTAGCATTCCCAAACCGGACCAGTCCGCAGGCACCTGAAAACGTTTCGCAGAGCTTATCCCCCTGGTTCTTAGAAGGAATGGGGGAATGTGGGGTACCCTATTTACTCCCTTAAAGGGCATACATAGGGGGGACAAAGGGAACCTCATTCCCTCATTCCCTATCAAGTTACCCTATTTCATCCCTCCTTTCTGACTAAGAACCAGCGAGTTAGTGTTTTGATGTCAACTTTCTCAGAGGTTCTTGCAGCAAGTGAACAAGTGCAGCAAAAGCAGACTACTTAAGTCCGTCGGGGTATTGTTTTGTAGGACCCAGAGTAGGTGCTAACATTCCCATGTTTTAGGCCTGGGTTCCCCTCCAAGCCCCTTGAAACCAAAAAGGGCACCCTCTTGATGCCTAGGTTACTCTTGGGTCTTGTATTACTGGACCCTTGTCGCCCCCCCAAAACCTTAAACCCTGGACCCTAAGCCCTAAACCCTAAACCCTAAACACCCTAAACCCTAAACCCTGGACTAAACAGCAAGGGTTCTCCTGGACCTCCGGACAGGCATCACTGCGCGATGGCGGACCCATGCGTGGACGACGCTTGCAGCTTACCCTGAACGTGAAAACTGGCTTGTTCGTAGCAGGGAATGAGGGAAGTAAAGCCCTTTATATACCCTTTATATGCCCTTTATATGCCCTTTATATGCCCTTTATATACCCTTTATATACCCTTTATATACCCTTTATAGGGCCCTAATTCCCTCCTTCCCTACTAAGGAACCAGGGGGGAAAAGCACGAAAGTTGGGGGAGTAGGTTGGCTTTGGGGGTGTAGGCGCTCTAAACCTGAACCCTAAACCCTAAACTTGGCCCTAAACCCTCAAAGCCTTATAAGGCTGTGTAGGAGTTGTGGGAGGTTTTGGGGGGATCAGGGCTGACGGCTCAGGGCTTAGGCTCGTTGGGCATCGATGTGGGGTTTATCTAGGGTTTAGGGTTTAGGGTTTAGGGTTTAGGGTTTAGGGTTTAGGGTTTAGGGAAATAAGAACTAAGGCATGCGGCATATACCTTAAATCGTCTATGTTGGTGGTTAAGAGACATTGCTCTCGATTCATGACAGCCTCTGCAAGCTGCAAGGAGCTGAACCCTACACCCTAAAGGCCTCTTAAAATAATGGGTGTAGGGTTTAGGGTCCCTAGCCCTAAACCCCAAACCCTAAACCCAGAATTCACGGCTCAGGCTTCGAGGATGAGGTGGAGCTTATGGCGTCCTCCTTGCTGCAGAGCTCCCTGCGCAGGACAGAGTAGTTTAGGGTTAAGGGTTTAGGGTTTAGGGCAAGGGAACCTGGTAGGCAGGTCGTAAAACCGTAAGCCCCAAACACCCTACACGTCAGTTCATCATTCGGGAAGCTCAACTTAGGGCACCTGAAGAACCCGACTAAGAAGCTCTTTGCCAGCAGAAGGTTCGCAGGGTTTTGGTGCCTTCCGGGTTAGGGTTTAGGGTTTAGGGTTTCGGGTTTCGGGTTTAGGGTTTAGGGTGGGTTCCCAAGGGGCGGAGAAGGCAGCTTCAGCGTGTTGAAGGTGCGAGGGTTCAGGGTGGAGGGTTTAGGGTTGCGGGTGTGGGGTTGAGGGTTGAAGGCTTAGGGTTGAGAGTTCAGGGTTGAGGGTTGTAGGTGTTTAGTGTTGAGGGTTGAAGGTTTCGGTTTGTAGTTGTTTCGGCTTTAGGATTAATGGGCGCAGGTCCAACGATGACGGGCATGTGCCTTGCCAGCTCAGCCAATTGATTTGTGCTGGAACCCTATACCAGCAATCCCGCCGACCGCACAGGACCACCAAGGTCTACTCCTTCCTGTCAGGCAGGTCCCCTAAACCCTAAACCCTAAACCCTAAACCCTGAACCCTGAACCCTAAACCCTAAATTCAAGCCTTCGAGTCGAATTTTGCTAGGATGTCCTTTACGGGCCGCCTTCGTCAGTACCAATACTGCAGACTAAACACCCATCAATGTCTATAAACCCCTGCATGACCATGTAGGACCTTGGGACATTTTTTGCGTCCCCTTACTGTGTTGAAGAGGATTCTAAACCGCAAACCCTACATCCTAAACCCCAAACCTTAAACCCCAAACCCCAAACCCTAAACCCTACATCCTAAACCCCAAACCCCAAACCCCAAACCCTAAACCTTAAACCCCACACCCTAAACCCCAAACCCTACATCCTAAACCCTAAACCCTAAACCCCAAACCCTAAACCCTAAACCCTAAGCCCTTTTAGGGATCTTCCTCAGAGGGTCTCAAAGGGCCCAACCGATTGGGGTCACCATCGTGTTGGGTGGACAGTTGAGAGGTTTAGGGTTTAGGGTTCAGGGTTTAGGGCTTTTTCTTTCATAGATTTCTGGGTGGCCCAGTGGTATTCTTGTTTCAAGGTTCTCTTATAACGTAACCAGACCAAAAAAGGGTACCCTTATTATAACATGGTTACCGGGCTACCAGGTTCCTCTCAGGGATTGGGCTTGTTGCTTAGGGTTTAGGGTTTAAGGTTTCGGGTTCAGGGTTGGGTTCAGGGTTGTTTAGTGTTTGTTTGTGTGTTGAGGGTTTAGGGTTTAGGGTAGACTAACCCATGTACCCTCAGGTCTCCCAATGTTCCCATGCTTTAGGGGTGTGTGGGGCTTATGGTTTATAAACCCTCAGCCCTAAACCTGTATCATTTGTTCTCCTACTACCCCGCTCTATACTATCTCCCCTAGGTTCCCCGCCTTAAATCGTCTTAACTAGGCTTAATTGTCCCCACCAAAGGGGCGTAGTAGGGGAACCCATGGTGTCCCTCTGCATACTAACAGTCCTTAATAGAGATTTTATTGGGGGTACTACAATCCCAACTAAGGACTGTTAGTATAGGGG